TTATTCAGACCCTGCTATTTTTTTTATTGCTGACCCCTGCTTTAGGGAATGACACTAATCCAGGTGGAGGAACAATGTGCGCTCTTTTGGACTTTTCTAACCAATCCAAAAGAAAACAAGCTGCTCTCAGACCTACGATTGAAATGAACAGGCAAGTTAGTGAATTTTATTGTCGTACTGACTCACATTTACATGTTAAATGTCCAAATCAACTGAGTTTGCAGCTAAAAATATGATAGAAAATGAATTTCCTGTAAAAAATAAAAATAAATAATAAGCATGGAAAACAAAATAATTGATTGCGAAGACAATCATAGTTGACAGAATATCTGAGCAATTAATGAACAGAGAGCCAAAAATCAGTTTGATCATAAAAAAAAAAATGTTTTACAAGGAAATGACAAAGACCAGCTTACCTGAAAAGTCTTTATTAAAGAAAACAGCTTCAAAAATAAATATATTAAAGGTCTAACATAAAAACTGTATTACTATGTTCCCACTTGATAAGGAACATATTTAAATCGATGCATCTCGATTTTAAAAGACATTTCGACAATATTACAGTCTACTCAAAGAAAAAATAGTGCATTTTTCTATCTATTGGTTTTATTTGCTTCTTTAAGTTAGCATTCATACATTTCTCTTGACATTTCAATAAATGTTTGCATCAAATAATAGAATTAACAACTGGAAGGTTTAGTGGAGAAGCCTGGCCTCTTGTGGGCAGATCGTGTCACTGCAGTTTTATCATATTCATTTAAATGTCACTGGAGTGAACTGGGTCCCTGCAAACAAAATGCAGATCCAGTCATCCTGTAGTACTTAGAAATCTCTAATAGCCACTTGTCTTTACAAATTCCTTTTTTAAGAATCATTGCTGCCTCATTATGCATAACAAAATACAACAATACAATATCTGTTTGTCTGAATTTGCTTCATCTCATATACATATATACATTTTAATAACATATATCAGTTTTCAAAGATAACTCAATTCATCAAGAGAACAACAAACATTTATTTGGATGGGATTACATTTATCTCAGATAATCTAGTAAAATAGTTATTGTCTTTAACGTCTCCTGTCTCTAGCTGGTCATCAGGAGAGAATCCTGCAGAGTCAATGACTGCACGCAATCGGCTGGTTTACCTTAAACCTTTAATCTGATGATCTGGGTTTTCTGTGGAAGTTGGCCTGAGATGACATGTAGTGAATTGGAGCTAAGGAAATAAACTGAAATGAAATAAAATAAATAAATTGGAGAGAAAAATCATTGATAAAATTATATACTTAAGTTTGGGTAATGGAGAAAGTGAAGAAGTTGAAAATGGGCGGGGCTTTGTTCAGATCAGTGTAAGAATTAGACCTTATTGGGTGGATATTTAGCAATAGGTGTGGTCAGTGCTGCAACACCATGAGTAAGGTTGCTGTTACAATCACTTATCTGAGCAATCACTTAGCATTGTTAGTTCATCTTTAAACATGTAGAAAACAGTTATGATGCAAAGCATGAAATTATAAAAAGTTTATGAAAGGTTATACATCATTTCAGTAGGAAGTTCATTTGCCATACAGGAGGACAAACATATATGGTTTCAAAGTAAAGCAAATCCTCTTTGGAGTGAAATACCCAAAAAATCACCAGGGCAAAAACTGGCATGGGGCCCTCTGACTTGAGAAAATAACACATAAACAGACCCATTATACAGATACAGAAATTCCTTCATTTCCCTCCTCTTGCTGCTTTTCCTCTCTCTGCTGTTTTCTTTTGTCCCTTTTTTTGTGCTCAGCTGACTTTTCATGCGTCTCCAAAGGAATCCAAGCCGACACAATGGCTGTGTGTGATCCACCACGCTGAATTGTAAATTATAAACATTTTATATAAACATGTTATTCAAATCGAGTTATTGGTAGGGACAAATAGGTCGGTCCAAAATTTTGTCCCTATGCAAACCTACGCCATTGTTACACAGTAAATGTCACAAAAAATGTGTCAATCAACTCTATGAGGTCAGCTGTGCCTGGATAGTCTTTCACGCAAAGGATTGTGGGAAACCATTTTGGTCCTAATGGCAGTTAGAGATGTCAAACGGTGTCTATGCTAACTGCGCTACCGGTGTTATAGGAAGCCTCCTGCTTCCTCACTGCTCAGCTAGCACTGATAGCTGCCTGCTGGAGCAGTGGCCTATCTGCAGCTGAGAGAAAGCGGCTGGATGATCTGATCAGGACCTGCCTCCAGCC